AAAAAAGATGTGGATGATAAGGAGGTTATAGTTATAGGTGATTCCTTGACAAGGCATGTGGATAGGATATTCTGTGGTGTAAACAGAGAGAAAAGAATCAGATCATGCTACCCAGGGGCACAGGTTAAGGATATAACTGACAGAATAGGATATATAATAAAGGGGCCTAGCAGAGATACAGTTTTTGTGGTGCATATAGGGGCTAATGATGTAGGGAAAGGTAGGTCAGAGGAGGTAACTGATAAAGGCATTTAAAGAAGAAAGGCCATAACTTAATTTTATTAAGAGACACTGCCCAGAATTAACTGTGGAGATGAAGTTACAAGTACGTCACTAGGGCTAAGTGCTAGGCTTAGGTTAATATGTAAGGATGAGCAGATTGGCTAGTTGGACTTGTGGGATCAGTTCAGTTGAAGAAGAGAGTTTTTTTGGAATGGATGGTTTACATTTAAATAAATTAGGGACTGTTTTTTTTTTATACGGTTATTAACTCAGCTGTAAGGAATGTTTTAAACTAGGAATAGATAGTGGTGAGAGCCAGGATAAACTAAATGCAAAAAGAATAAGAGGCAGATAAAAGTTTAGCATAGGAAATGAGTATAGTTATAAGGGTAGGTTTAATTGTTACAATTGTAATGCTAGAAGTATAAGAAATAAAATAGATGACCTTAGAGCACTGGTAGGAATGGAGGCTTTTGATATAATTGGAATAACTGAAACATGTATAAACGTAGACAATTTTGATGACAGAAATTTCTTTGAAATACAGGGTTACAGGCTATTTATTGGACAGTCAACATGGTTTAACTAAGGGAAAATCTTGCCTAACATATATTTCAACATTCTTTGAAAAGGTTACTGCTTATGTAGATGAGGGTAAGAGTGTAGATTTGGTGTATCTGGATTTTCGTAAAGCATTTGACAAGGTGCCACATAAAAGGCTTGTAAAGAAAATTTATCTCTATAGGTATGAAGGATAAGTTAGCAAATTGGATAGAAGAAAGCAGAGTGTTGTTACAAATGGAGTTCAGTCAAACTGGATTAACGTCACAAGTGGGGTACCTCAGGACACAATCTTAGGACCTTTTCGATTTACATCAACAACATAGATGAAGCAATGATGAATAATTACTTAAATTTGCAGATGATCTTAAGGTATTCGATATTGCTAGCTGTGAAGAGGATGCTGCTGATTTACATAAAGATTTAGATCATTTAGCAAATTGGGTAAATAAATGGCAAATGGGCTTTAATTATAATAACTGCAAGATAATGCATGTGGATTATCACAATTTGAATTATAAGTATAATTTGGATTGGAATAACCTTAACAGTGTCATGAAAGAAAGGGACCTTCGTGTAATCGTTGATCAGTATCTAAAGCCATTCAAGCAGCGTGCTGTTGCTAATGGTAAGGCAAAAAAGATTTTAGGTTGCATCTACAGAAGTATTGGATACAAGTCTAAAGAGGTTATAATTTCATTGTATAGGTCACTGGTTCGGCCACATTTGGAAGATTGTGTTCAGTCTTGGACTCCTTAACTTAAGAAAGACATTGAAGTGTTGGGAAGGGTTCAGAGGAGGGTTACTAAAATGGTGCCTAGGATAGAGCAGTTGTCATACAAGGAGAGACTGGAATCTCTCAAATTGTTTTTTCTTGAAAAAAAGGAGTTAGGAAGGATCTGAATGAGATTGATGCATCATCTTCTTTCATACTTATCAGTGAGAAGAGTAGAACTAGGGGACACAAGTATACATTTTGGCAGGGTAGCAGCCATCTTCAGCTAAGAGTTTCATTTTTCTAACAGGGTGGTTGGCCTTTGGAATGGGTTGCCTTAGGATGTTGTGGAGACCGTAAATTTAAATGAGTTTATGAAAAAACTTGATAAGCATATGAATAATAAGGGCTGGCTTTAAATTGTTTTTTTATATTATTTATCTATTAATAGTTTTAGTTTAGTTTAGAGGATGGAACAGCCAAGATGGACCAATAGGTCCCATGTTGTTCCAAAATGTTATGTTATTTTGCCTATAAATCTTTGATAGACATAAAAGAAGTTTCTCATTACCTTTTGCTAATTCTGAAAAAATAAATAAACAAAAGAAACAACTATTTTGACAGTATTTGAGCTCACTTTGATATAATATTAATACTAGTTAAAGTGAAAAACATCTTAAATTATTCTTCAATTCTATTTTTTTCCTATATAGCTTCAAACTAAAAGATGAGTAATCATTCAGTGAAAAGAAGCACATATATTTATCACTGCAAAGATAGTTAGCAAAAGATGTATGTAAATATATGCATATACACAAGATCTACCTCCTTATTTCATATATATTAAGCTTAAATATTTTCAAATCAGTACATATAATTTTTAAAATACTACAAAATATTATAATAGTCCCTGGTGTCCATAAGTGATTGAACTACTTTATTAACTGAATAAAATGAGAACTACATAAGAAACCATTGTTTATCCGGTATGATTCTTTTACTATTCAATTAAGAAAGCAGTTTGATAATTTATGGACACTCTGCCAGACAGCTATAGCTGTCTGGAAATATAGAACTGTAAACACACCAAATCATAACCATCTTCAACTTAACTATGCACAATCTACATTTACTATAGAATAAATTAAAATCTTTAATCAAACTATTTCAACTTTAACTCCAAATCTTTATCAAATCTCAAAAAAAAAGAGGCATTTGATGGCTCAGGCTCAAACACAGCCTTTAATTCTTTTTTTAATGATTTAAATGAGCATTTGTTTGTCATAACTTATAATTCAATCTTATATTCTTTCCACTATAGAATACAAATATGTGACTTATGAGGATAACTATGAACTTCAATAAAAAAAAGTTGAATTTAATCTTTTAATATTCAGATTAGCCAAGTGTAATTCAACAGTACTTACATAAAGCAACCACCCAATGTTAGATTAGTTTTAGTATTAAATGCTTACAATTGATTAAAAGAAAGGCTTGTTCTAAAGACAAATCTTTGTAACCTAGGGTAGAGGATCCGAAACTCCATGGTCCGTGATCGTATTCTAGGACCAGAGTCCAATTTAGGAATGCTCGTG